TCCTCCTCCTTCTCCTCATATTCCATGTTTGTTGTATAGAAATTAATTTCACATTTATTATTACAATGTTATATATATATATATATACATATATATATATATATATATATATATATACATACATATATATATATATATATATATATACATATATATATATATATATATATATATACATATATATATATATATACATATATATATATATATATATACATATATATACATATATATATATATATATATATACATATATATACATATATATATATATATATATATATATATGTATATATATGTATATATATATATATATATAATATAACAGCAATAAGCAGCATAATTTTTCGGCCAATTTTGACAAGCTAATGTAAAAGCTGACATGTTCATGCTCAAACATAAGACAACAATAAGCAGCAACATGCTCATTCCTTAATTACTTAGTAGGCACAAGCACCAAAAGCATCGTTCCAATAACAACTCATTCTTATATATGGTTATCGACCCTTCTCCAACTAAATTAGACATAACTTTACAACATAGTATATGTTAGTTTAAGGAATAAGCTCACAAGAAAGCATGACAATGCATATTACATGCTTAAAGTGCCACGATTAAGACATTTTTCTTGTCATGCCATATTCTTGTCATTTATATTTAAATATTGTCATATTGTCACCAAATTATGAAATCCGACCACCACATTCCACATTTTCACACCCTTCCTCAATTTCACATCACATTCCTCAATCCTAAATTAATAAATATAAATCAGTATCCAAAATCCCAACCAAATAGAGATAATAATATTCACCAAATTATATCAAAATCAATAATGACAATCAATAAATCAGTATTGAAGATACAAGCAACTGAATTGTTTAAATTCCTGGAAGTTAATTATACAATTACTCAAATTAACACATACTTAAGCTAATTTAGTCATTGAATGTTAAATTTACACTGTTTAGGGTAAAAAATACCCCAACATGTGGTTCAATCCCATAGTGACACATGGCCCAATAAAAAGGCGACACGTGTCCTTATAGGAAGATGACATGTGGCAACCCTAAGAGCACCTAAATGAGAGAAAGGTCTCCTTACACCAGGATGCCCAAATCCTGATAAAAGCGCTAAAACAGCGTCCCTAAAGGACATATGTCCTCTCTTGAATGCGCCGCCAATCAAAGCCCACCTTTTTAGGGTACCAATCCTAAAGTGACACACATTCCCACCCCTATAAATACTTCAATCATTTATGATGGGAGGGGGGGGGGATTAAGACATATCATTCCAGAGTATTAAATTGCTCCAACTTCTCTTTACTTTCTCTCTCTACATTACTTCGTTTTCCGTTTACTAACTTGATCGTCGGAGGCGAATATTCCATCAACCAGAATATTCGTTATTTTGCAGGTGTCCAAGACTGTTCACTGTATTCACGACCTGTATCCCAAGGGATTCCAAAAAACCCCAAAACATTTGGCGCCGTCTGTGGGGATACACGTCTGAAATGGCTAAAGATGGTCAGACACCCGGTCCTAGTGAGGACGGACATGTAGAAAATATCATTACAACAATCAACACTTGCGATCCTCTGACCGCTTCATTCCATGATGCTGAGGATCCCCCTGTCACGGATGCTTCCTTGAAAGCCGCCTTGGAAAAGCTCCAAAAGGAGCTTGAGGGTAAGATTCCTTCCTCCACTAGACAACCGTCTAGAAGAGAAGGAGAGAGCGTCCGAAATAAACCCTAGGGCAAGACGGCCAACACTGAGGACGTCGGGAATACCCCGTTCAGAAGACATTAGAGGTCTCCAAGGGTGCCTCGGATGAACTGGTCAAGGCTTCTTGAGAAATTGAAGTCGGCTGGGGGGCAGACCAAGCAGCCTCTCAGGCAACCAAATGAGTCGTCCCAACACTGGAAGGATGCTAGAGACTATCTTAGGCACAAGCGGCATGAGCAGGCACACTACTCTAACTTTGCCTCCACTCCTACCATGCTAGATGATTCTCTAGCAACACCCTCTCAGCTCGGCCAGGACCAGCAGGAGTCAAGCTCATCGTACTCCAACTTTAGTTTCTTTAACTCAACCACCTCAGTTTCAGATAACCCATGATTATGGTACAATATTGCCGCCTATGACCCTAGTGTACGGGCAGTATGGGAAATATGGCGTGTCTCATAACTAGGTCACATACTTGGGCGGACATGGTCGTTCGCTTCCTAGTTGTTAAGGAGTTCACTGGCTATAATGTTATCATCGGCCGCCTAACTTTGACATCAGCAAAGGTAGTAATTATCCCTCAGTTGATGCTGATGAAGTTTGAGCGGTCAGATGGGAAATTAGGTTCCATTCAGGGAAACCAAAAACTGGCAAAGGAGTGTAATCAGCTAGTCGTAAAGCCAACATCACTAGGACATGGGAATGCGTCCGTGTAAAATTTCAAAGAAGGGTCACTCCAAGCATACTAGGTTGGCAAGAAGCAAAAAGTCGATCAAGAAGGAGCAAGCATAGCAGCTAATGACTGTCGGCCGGCCAAAAGAGTTGAGGCCACAGCCGGCTGGCGACCATACGAACATAGTGCTTAACCCAGACCAACCTTATTGGACGGTCAAAGTGGGCACTATGGCCATGGGCTTGCTAGGAGATGACTTGGTGAATCTGTTAAGAGAGTTCAGAGATGTGTTCGCGTTTGAAGTTCATGAGATGCCGAGTATCAGTCCAGACTTAGCAGTTCATAAGTTGGCTGTGAATTCGGCTGTAAAACCTGTTCGTCAAAAGAAGAGGAATCATGGTGAATACAGGAATCAGGCGGCCGCATTCGAAGTTAAAAAGCTACTGGACGCCGGTTTCATTCGGCATTGTTATTACCCTGACTGGGTGGGTAATGCAGTTCTGGCCAAGAAGCCGAATGGAACTTGGAGGATGTGCGTAGATTACACTAACCTCAACAAGGCATGCCCTAAGGATAGTTTTCCCTTGCCTAAAATTGACCGTCTGGTTGATTCAACGGTCGGGCATGCCCTAATGAGCTTTATGGACGCATACTCTGAATTCTATCAAATCCCTTTATGGGAAGAAGACCAAGAAAAAACAGCATTTGTGACCAAGCAGGGGCTATATTGCTACAAAGTTATGTCATTCAGCTTAAAGAACACCCTTGCCACATTTCAGAGACTGGTGAATAAGGTCTTTAAAGATTAGATCGGCCAGAACATGGAGGCTTATGTTGATGATGTGATTGTTAAATCAAAGAGGTCGGCCGATCATCTGAGTGACCTCCGAGAAACGTTTACCGAACTCAAGCAGCATAAGATGATGTTAAATCCAAAGAAGTGTGTCTTTGGTGTTGAGTCCGGCAATTTTCTTGGATTTTTGATTGATCAGCGTGGCATTGAGGCCAACCCTGAAAAGATCCAGGCGGTCTAAGACATGGAATCGCCTAGAACCATAAAAGAAGCTCAAAGATTGACTGGTTGCTTAGCTGCACTCAGACGATTTTTGTCAAGATCAGGGGATAAGTGTCGCTATTTTTTCCAGTCTATCAAGAATAAAGCAATGTTCAAGTAGATAGAGGAGGCCAAGGAAGCCTTCGTATAGTTGAAGAATCATTTACATACCCTTCCTCGGCTCGTCAGTCCCCTCCAAGATGAGAAGCTATATATGTACTTGGCTATTTCAGATATTCCTTAAGCGTCGTCCTGCTTGCTAAAAGGGACAGCCATCAAATCCTTGTGTATTTCATTAGCCATGTTCTACACAATGTCGAGCTTTGGTATCCACCCATTGAAAAGTTCGGCTTGGCATTGTTAATGGCATCAAAAAAGCTAAGCCATATTTTCTTGCTCATTCGATTGTGGTCTACACAAACTAACAATTGAAGAAGCCGTTCACGACATTGGAGGCCAGCGGCCGAATGCTCAAATGGGCAATTAAGGGTCAAGCCTTTGTAGATTTCTTGGCTGAAATGGCACGACCGGATTTACAACCAACAGGGGATCAGATTTGGAAAGTTTTTGTGGATGGAAGTGCAATAGCGGCCGGGTGTGGCGCTGGTATCATATATTTATCTCTCGAAGGAGATAAGTTCAAATATGCTCTGAGATTTCAGTTTTAAGCCTCTAAGAACGAGGCCGAGTATGAAGCCCTTCTGGTCGGCCTTAGAATGTGTAAGGCAACCGGGGCAACAAAAAATTGATGCTTGTTCGGACTCTCAGTTGATAGTCAGCCAAGTGAATGGTGACTACGAGGCTAGGGAGCCGTCAATGATGAAGTACTTGCAAATGGTGAAAGATGAGGCTGAGGGCCTAGAGAATTTCACGTTGCAATAAGTCCCTCGGTCCGAGAATCATCAAGAAGACGCCCTATCCAAGCTGGCCTCCTCGGCATCGTGCGACACTCCGAGATCTGTGTTCTGAAAAAGTTAAGGAAAAAAGGAGTATCAATGTCGAGCCCTTACAAATCATTGACAGAAGCTCCACATGGATGGACAGAATAATCTCTTATCTCAAAGATGGAGTTCTTCAGGACGACCCAAAGGAGAGCTGCCTGATGAAGAGAAAGACGTTATGGTTTGAGATGAAGGGAGAGGACTTGTTCAAAAGATCATTTGTAAAGCCCTACTTGAAGTGTGATACGCCCAAGAGGGGGCATGAGGTGCTGGACAACCTCCACCAGAGGCATTGCAAATCGCACATAGGCGGACGAGCCTTAGCTGAGAAAGTTACCCATCTGGGGTATTACTGGCCGAGCATGAATTCGAACTCCAAGGAAATGGTGAAAAAATATGACAAGTGCCAAATATTTGCAACCCTTATTCACCGCCTGGCAACCAGCTTGTCGGCCATAAGTAGTCCACTTCCCTTTGAAAAACAGGGCTTGGACATCTTGGGGTTGTATACTCCAGCGTCCGGATAAAGGCGGTATGTGTTAGTAGTAGTTGACTACTTCACAAAGTGGGTAGAAGCCGAATTCGTTCGAGGAATTAAATGGAAAGATGTATCTGCCTTCATTTGGGAAGAATATAATCACACGCTTTGGTGTGCCAAAACCAATGGTGTTTGATAATGGACCGCAATTCGAGACCGACCATCTTAGGGATTATCTGAGTTACCAGGGTATAGCACATTGCTTTACTTCGAACAGATGCCCAAAGGCCAATGGCCAAGTTGAGGCATACAACAAATTAATCTCTAATGTCATCAAGCGGAATCTTGAGAAAGCAGGTCGCCTATGGGCTGATGAGTTGGTCAATGTGTTATGGTCCATTCGAATGACAACAAAGAGTTCAACAGGGGAGACCCCATTCTTTTTGGTCTATGGTGCTGAGGTTGTGCTCCTAATTGAAATGTATGAGCCCACTCTACGAGTGATGCTATATGATGAATCGGCCAATTGGGAGGCCATGAAGACCGCCCTTGACTTTCTTCCAGAATCAAGGGGCAATGCGGCGCTTAGACACGAAATATATCGTCTAAGGATGACAAGGGAATATAATCGCAAAGTGTCAAAGCGGCCGCTTAAGATTGGAGACTTGGTCCCAAGAAAAATGAAAGTGGTAGGCCGAGCAAAAGAGCGGATGGAAAGCTAACCTCAAACTAGGAAGGATCCTACCGAGTTAAGGAAGAAGTACGAGATGGACAACATCGTCTTGAAGCCTTAGATGGCTATCCTATTCCACAAACATGGAATACGGACAATCTCAAAAAATATTATGTATAAATTTTTGTACTTAGCCAAAAAGTTGTATATACAACTAGGTCTAAACGGCCGAGCAATGTAAGTCGTACGATCAAAGACAATGTAATTTTGACAAAACTAATGAAAGTAAAATATTTTTATTAAATTTTTGCCATTTATAGTTTTATCTAATGATAAGAAGAAATGCCGCCTAAAAGCAGAAACGAGGTTGCTTGCAACATAGCAGCTCGACCCTCAAAAGGGGCATGTTTAGGCAGCTGGGCATGTTTAGGCAGCTGGGTAAAGCAGCTCGGCCATAATGGTCAAAAAGCTATTAACTCCATCCGACCACGTTACAGGTCGTATGGAAGAAACATAAGGTTGCCCAAAAATTTCCTAAGGCATTGTTACCCTAAGGGCAAGGGCATACCTAGGATCCCAAGCCCTACAAACACTTAGAAATAATCAGGTTGAGATAATACTTGAAATTTCACGAATGCGTCCAAGAGATAGTATCAAAAGACGACTCAGCATAAGTCGTATACCTAAAATTCATTCGGCATTCACCTAGTCCAAGGGCAATCATTATGATGATTTGATTAACTTACTGGACGCCATACCCTTTGAGGTATAAAGTCTACTAAGTTAATCAAACCTCTTTAAATATGGACTAGGAGAAATGGCGAATAAAGGGGCATACCCATACCCTCAGCAAAAAACATAACATCACCTGTACGCTAGGTAGATAAAGGCATAAATTGCTAAAAAATTCTAAGTATGGATGAAGGAAGAAAACGCCATAAATTAAAGTCGTTCAAAACAAACAGCAAAATAAAAAAGAGTATATTAAAAGACCGCTCAAAACAGGCGATAGGAAATCGAACTTGTTTAAGCAAAAGAAATAAAAACATAGAACAGAAAGCTAGAAGACGGTAGCAGGAGGACTTGAGCTTCTCATTCAGCCGACTGCTTGTCAGTCGCGGCCGGCTCCTTCTCCTCGGCAGGCTTCTACTCCTCCCCTTTCTCATCTTCCTCGACCTTGGAGTCGGAGGAAGTCTCAACATATTCGAGAGGAGGCTTGCCGATAGCCTCAGCCTATTCCTTAAGGCAGACATGCTCAAGACGGCGCGTGAAGCACTCCTGATAGTAGGTCATCTCGCCTATGTCAACCATCATAGAGAAGTAGAAGCAGCTCTTCAGCTTTGCCTCGGCCTTCTACTCAATTCGGATGGCCTCTAGAGGATCAATCACCCGAGGAGCCTTCAGTTGCTTAGACAAGTCCGCAACAGACTTGTTCAAGAGCTTAACCTCAAACCTGAGGGAATCCACTTCATTTAAAGTCGTCTGAAGAGCTTCTTGGGAGGAGCCAGCTCATTTCTCAGCTTCTCGGAGGCTTTGAAGCCCTCCTTCCACTGGGTGGCGTTCGTGACCGCCTCATCCTTTTCCTGCTGTAGCGCCTTTTGGGCAAGCTGCTCCCGTTTGAGAGCATCGCCAATTTTAATGATGTCTTCGGCCTACTTAGCCGAATTCTTTGTCACCGCAGTGATGTTGGCCTTGTGCCGAATCTCCAGCAGGGCAATTATACCGGTGTTTTCATCTTGAATCCGTTTTATGTCGACCTAGGTTGCCTTAATCTTCTCGTTTCTTTGTCCTTTCATTCTAGAAAGCACTGAGCCTAAGGAAGACCTACATTCGGACGGAAACAGGTTAATAAAACCAAAGTGTGAAAATATATTAAGTATTGATGCTTTGGCCAAGTGTGGTTACCTCGGCGTTGCAGTTTATCATAGGGCTGAGAAAGCCCTCATTAATCACGCAGAACTTGTCTTGCTGCTCTTTAGGGACGGCCCACTACATGGCCTTCCGAATAGCCTTTCGGTCAGCGATTGTGAGCGATTGGTCGAGCAGCTTCATGTGCATCTTCTAAGCAATGTTTGCGCCAAGTAAGAAAGGAAGTTATCTTGACAAAACTCATAAAAATAGAAGTAAGCAGCATACGGATGTCCCACATACCGTCTAAGAAAGATGGGATGTTGAACGTAGAGGTGTGAAGGGGTAGCGACTGATCCCCTTCCTCTTGTGTCCGGCGGAGTTGTTCTTCGGCCGACTAAGAGGCATTCTTTTGCCACTTTGATTTGTCGATCACCTCGACATGCAGAGTCGAGGTTGTGTTGCCGATCGTTTTAGCTGGGGACAACTTACCCCCTTTTCCCACATTGACGGACTCATCGTGGACCGCCTCATTTTGCGGCTCTACGGTCTTGGAGGCCCCAGTAGGTGACAGCTAGGATGGCTCTCCTTTAGACAGCTTTGGAGCAGCCTACGACGTGGACTTGGCCGCATTAGAGGAAGACTTAGCCCTTGTGGCTGCTGTCTTCCTAGCCTTGGACGATTGGCCATCTTAGAAGTAGAGGCCGACTGCTTCCTCTTCGCCCTAGGAGTAGGAGTGGCCGCCTGATTATAATAGAACAAAGCCAAAGTGAGATAGGTGTCCGAGCAAAATTGAGAAAGAGCCCCTTCCCAACCTACTAGCTCAGCGTGAAAGTAAAAACAGTGGTGTCCGAGTAAAATCGGATAGGGTACCCTTCCCAATATATCAACCTGGCATTAAAGCAGGTAGAGCTACGTCCGAGTAAAATAGGGAAGGATTCCCTTTTCCACATATCAGCTCGGTTAAAAAAAAAAAAAAGAAAGGAGAAACTTGTAGGGTTTCGTAGTGACCCGACACTACGCGGAAGGAAACCCACCAAGACCCACCCCTTAATTAAAACAATTAAAAAGCATATTAAACTTAATCAAACAATATTAAGAACAAGAATTATACCTTTGTCGCGTGCTTTGCTCCCAAAGATCTCTTACATTAAACAAGATTAAGAACAAGAATCAAACATGGAGTGAATGATAATTTTGCACAAAAATTAATTACTCCATTAATGAATGGTTTTAATACAGTGTCTTACATTAAATATCCTATTTAATTAAAACACATGTACAAGGAATTTCAAAGCCAGTCTCCAACATGCTTGATTCCCATCGCCTTAATGTGTTTGTTGTGTTTCACTTGAGGCAGCGGTTTAGTCAAAGGATCGGCTACATTGTCATCTGTGCCAATCTTACAAATTTTGATTTCACCTTCGGATTTCCATTCCCTTATCATGTAAAATCGCCTTTGCACGTGTTTGACCTTCTGGTGCTCTCTCGGCTCCCTGGCCTGAGCGATTGCTCCATTGTTATCACAATAAAGGTCTATCAGCCCCTTGATTGAGGGTACAACACCAAGTTCGCTAATGAACTTGCCAATCCAAACAGCTTCCTTGGCAGCTTCTGAAGCGGCCAAGTACTCGGCTTCAGTTGTAGAGTCTGCAGTGGTGCTCTGCTTGGCACTCTTCCAGCTAAACGCTCCTCCATTCAGACAAAATATGTACCCCGACTGTGACTTGAAGTCGTCTCTGTCAGTCTGGAAGCTAGCTTCGGTGTAACCTTCAACAACCAGTTCTTTGTGGCCTCCATACACCAGGAATTTGTCCTGTTCCTTTTCAGGTACTTAAGGATGTTTTTGGCCGCAGTCCAATGCGCCTCTCCTGGGTTCGATTGTTATCGACTCGTTGCACTCAGGGCATACGATACATCTGGCCTTGTACATATCATGGCATACATGATCGATCCGATTAGCGAAGCATATGGGATCTGATTCATTCTTTCTCGCTCAACATGTGTCAGTGGACACTGTTTCTTGCTGAGAGTTATGCCATGGGACCTGGGTAAATGCCCTCTTTTGGCATTCTCCATGTAGAATCGAGCCAGTACTTTATCAATGTAAGTACTCTGGCTTAATCCAATCATCCTCTTAGATCTATCCCTGTAGATCTTGATTCCCAATATGTACTTTGCCTCTCCTAAGTCCTTCATTGAAAAGCACTTTCCCAACCAGCCCTTTACGGACTCCAACAATTTTGTGATGTTTCCAATGAGAAGTATGTCATCAACATACAGGAATATGAATGCAATATCACTCCCACTGACCTTCTTGTATACATAAGATTCATCTGGATTCTTGATAAAACCAAACTTGCTAATGGCTTCATCAAATAGCAGATTCCAACTCCTGCTGGCTTGCTTTAGTCCATAAATGGACTTCTTCAGCTTGCAAACCTTTCCAGCGTTGCCTGGATCGACAAAACCTTCTGGCTGTGTCATATACACAGTTTCTTCCAAAATTCCATTAAGGAAGGCGGTTTTGATATCTATTTGCCATATTTCATAATCGTAATATGCAGCAATCGCTAGGATGATCCGGACGGATTTTAGCATTGCAACTGGTGAAAAAGTTTCATCATAGTCAATCTCGGGGACTTGTCTATAACCTTTTGCCACTAGTCTAGCTTTGTATATTGATACATTTCCATCCTTGTCTGTCTTCACTTTGAAGATCCATTTTCAACCAATGGGTGTATAACCCTCGGGCAAATTCACTAAGTCCCAGACTTGATTTTCAGACATGGAGTCCATCTCGGATTTCATGGCCTCTTGCCATTTTGCAGATTCGGGGCTCGTCATAGCTTGCTTGTATGTCGCCGGCTCATCACCATCCATGACAAGGATGTCCTGATCATCAATTAAGACGATACCAAGGTATCTGTCTGGTTGAGATCTTTTCCGTTGCGACCTACGAAGGGTAATCGGTTGAGCATTTTCATTGTCTGTTTGATTCTGACCAATCTTCTTAGATGCTTCCAAAGTATCTAGATTGTTAGTTTTGTCAAGTTAACATTGTTGCTCGTCCTCTCAAACTTTGTCGAGTTCGATTTTCCTCCCACTTGTCATTTTGGAAAGGTGATCCTTCTCCAAAAAGACACCATCACGAGCAACAAATACTTTGTTCTCGGATTTATTGTAAAAGTAATACCCTTT